GACCAAAGGAAGGTCAAACTTCCGGGGTACGATGGTAAGGGAGATCCCAAAGAATTTTTAGCGTCTTTTCAGGTAACCGCAGGTCGGGTACATTTGGAGCCAAACGAAGTAGACGCAGGCTTATGCAAGCTCTTCGCCGAGAACCTATCCGGGTCGGCTTTGACCTGGTTTACTCAACTAGAAGAAGGATCAATCGATAGTTTCAAGCAACTTTCCACTGCTTTCATCATGCAGTACGGATACTTCATCAAGAGCGATGTAACCGATGCACAGCTGTGGAACCTCTCACAGGGAGCCGGAGAGCTGCTCCGGACTTACATCACCTCCTTTAAGGAGATTATGGTCCAGATCCCAAATCTGTCTGATTCCGCAGCAATTGCTGCACTCAAGAACGGTCTATGGCACGAATCCCGTTTCCGAGAGGAGTTGGTTGTTAACCGACCAGCTACTATTCAAGACGCCCTCCATCGGGCAACGAACTGGATAAACGCGGAAGAAGAGCGGGTCGCTCTAGCAAAAAAGTTCAAAGCAGCTCCGAAACCTGCTCAGCTTCTTCCTCAGAAGAAACCTGTTCAACCTGAAGTTCGGAAGCCTGGAGCTAGCACATTCTCAGTGGGTCGAGATGAGCCAAAAGTTTCTCCGAAGAATTCGCCTGCGAAGCAGTCTTTCTCGCCAAAGAGCAAAAACGGCGCCTTCCCGAGTAACAAGTGGATTCGTGACCCAAACGCCTACTGCGAGATCCACAAAGTCAATGGGCATGCTACGAAAGATTGCAAGGCTCTAGGGAGGTTACTGGCTGCCAAGTTCGCATCCGGGGAAATAGCCGAAATCGACGTTTCGGAGCTCGAACCAACTCATCCGTCGGAACATACAGTAGCAACAGAGGAACCGTCTCCTCCCAGCAAGAAAACCAAAAGGATCCAGTCCCCTGATGTTTTTAAAGGACCAAAGAAGCAAATCCAGGTGATTATGGGGGGGGATCTAAGCTCTTTCGGGATTCCATTAGTGCAATCAAGCAACACGAACGGAGGGCAACCCCCCCGATTATCAAGAAGGCCAGGCTTACTGAGGAACAGTTACCCGAAGTAACATTTTCCGAAAGCGAAACCAGTCAACTTGACAAGCCACACGATGACGCTCTGGTCATAACACTCGATATTGCGCATTGCGAAGTATCTCAGGTTCTCATTGATACTGGGAGTTCGGTGGATTTAATCTTCCTCGATACTTTGATAAGAATGGGGATATCGAAGCGAGATATAAAGGGGCCACCATCGCCTTTGGTTTCCTTTACTAGCGAAACTTCAATGTCATTAGGAACGATTGTGCTCCCGGTATGCGCAGAAGGCATAGTCAAAATGATCGAGTTCACGGTGTTCGATCGTCCGGCTGCTTATAATGTTATCTTGGGAACACCCTGGATTTATGAGATGAAAGCAGTACCTTCAACGTATCATCAATGCTTGAAATTCCCTACGAAATCAGGAGTAAAGCAAATCCTGGGAAGTCAGCGAGTTGCGAGGATGTGTTACATGTCCAGTCATAAGCTTAAAATTCAATAGCAACCACAGTTCGAGGTTCCTGCAAATCCCGTCAAAAAAATAAGCAGTGACCTCGTGGAGGCAGTGGTAGTTAATGAGGAGTATCCGGATCAAACTGTGAGCATAGGAGCGGGATTAAGCGAAGCACTCCGAGTTGAACTGGTAACTTTCCTGAAAAGAAATAAAAAAACTTTCGCCTGGAAAATCGAGGAGATGACTGGGATCGATATAAAGGTCATTTCGCACGAGCTCAACATTGACCCGACTTTCAAACCAGTAAAACAAAAACGCAGGAAACTTGGTCCAGACCGAGCCGAGGCTGTAAATGCCGAAGTACAACGCCTGCTCGATGCCGGTTTGATTCGCGAGGTCAAATATCCGGACTGGTTGGCAAACCCAGTTGTAGTCAAGAAGAAAAATGGGAAATGGCGGGTTTGCGTAGATTTTACCGATTTTAATAAAGCCTGTCCCAAAGATAGTTTCCCACTTCCGCACATCGACCGACTTGTGGAGTCAACGACGGGCCACGAAATGATGTCCTTTATGGATGCTTTTTCTGGGTATAATCAGATTTTGATGAATCCGGAAGACCAGGAAAAGACAGCTTTCATCACAGACCGTGGAACTTACTGCTATATAGTCATGCCATTCGGGTTGAAAAATGCCGGAGCCACTTATCAACGGTTGGTGAATATGATGTTCAAAGATCTCCTCGGTAAAACGATGGAAGTGTATATTGACGATATGTTGGTGAAGTCAATATCAAGCACTTCGCATATTGAGCACCTAGAGCAGTGCTTCGCAATTTTGAATAAGTTCGGAATGAAACTGAATCCGACCAAGTGCACTTTTGCAGTTCCTTCAGGAGAGTTTTTGGGTTACATTGTCACTGAGCGAGGAATCGAAGCTAATCCGCGACAGTTGAACGCTTTTCTGGCGATGACTTCGCCCCGAAATATTCGGGAAGTTCAGCGACTCACGGGGCGGATAGCAGCTTTGAACCGATTCATCTCGAGGTCAACCGATAGATGCCTTCCATTCTATAATCTGCTCCGAAAAGCGAACAAAAATTTCATCTGGGATGAGAATTGCGCAAAGGCTTTCGAAGATCTAAAAGATTATTTGTCCAAACCTCCTGTGTTAGCAAAACCTGAGTTCGGAGAAGAGCTTTTCTTGTACGTTTCGGTTTCTGACAGCGCAGTAAGTGGAGTATTAGTACGATTGGATCGGAACGATGAAAGACCGATTTTCTATGTAAGCAAGTCTTTTTCGGGAGCGGAATCAAGATATCCAATGATGGAAAAGCTAGCTATTAACTGGGAAGGTCCTTATCGAATTACTCAGGTAGTTCGCAACGGAGTTTATCGTCTGGAGAACATGGACGGAATCAAGATATCCGATGATGGAAAAGCTAGCTATTGGTAATTTTGGAAACCAAAGATCCAAAGCTACCTCTATCGATTTACCCCATATACACAGAGTATACGAATGTCCCAGTTGGATACCAAATTGGTCGGTCAATTGGGTCTTAGTCAGTAGCCTAATGTCCCCAACATTAAATTTTAAAAGAATACGCATTCATATTGTAACAAACGTACATGTCCTCTAGACGAGCCTGATCTACCTTTAAGATTAGTTCAAAAGCATAAAGTCGACTGATAGCACAAAATTCTACCTTGCCAAATGTGTACTACGGTAGTTCGATGTTTTTGGGATGACCAAAAGTTATGTTTGAGAAGGCATTCATATATAATTTTTTTTTTTTGATAAAAGACGACATTCATATATTTTGATGTACGGGAGTAGGGTAAACCTAGAACAACACACTATTTAGATATTTATATAATACAACTATACAAGAGATATTTGTTCTTAATTAGGATTAGCTGGGGAAAAAGAGGCTCGAGATCTTTTTATACAGGTTTACCTACCGACCTCTAATTATTATCTGCACATACATGTGGACATATATAATTCAAAGAAAATTACATGCATAATTTATATATTACTCACTCTATTTCACAAAGAGTGTCATTCACTCATTCTACTATTTTTCACACAAATTAAAAAAGTAAACAAATTTTATTTCTATCCTTTATTAATACACTAAATATTACCCTCTCTCTAATTAATAAGCTAAAATAGTGAGGTTAAAAAAGAGAATTAGTCTTAAAAAATGCATTGAAAACACAAAACGATACTCTTTGTGAAACGAAATTAAAATCTTAAAACGACACTCTTTGTAAAACGGAGAGAGTATTAATTATTTTTGTGTAATTCCTGAAATTTAGCAAACTAATCTTGAATTTTGGGAAAGATAGTAAATTGAGTCTTTGAAGTGTTTAATTATCTTATTGAAACTATGTAGTCTAAATTATGTCAATGACATTAGAATTTAGAATACTTCCAAAGAACATGATAATAGCATTATCTAATATTTAAAAAATAACATTTATAAATATTCATTCCGTTTCGCAAAGAGTATTGTTATAAAGTTTTAATTTTGTTTCACAAAACATTAATTTTTTATGAAGTATTTATTTCTATAAATATGTCAAAATGACATTTTTGTAAAAGAGAGATATAGGGAGTACTCCCTGTTCTAAAAATCGGCCGCCTAGCCGCCTAAGAAATGATCGGGTGGGAACCGCGGCAAATCGGTGATCCGATTTTTGTCTGTCTACACAGTCTAGACCGCCTAGGCGTCCGCCGACGGCGCCTAGCCCAATTTTTTTTTTTACATTCTTTTTTTTTTTATCTAAAATTCAAAATGTCCCACTTATGTTCATAATCTGTATAAAAATCATAAGTTTGACCTTAAATTCTTGTTTTCATGTGTTTAATGCAATTTTAAAAACAATGTTATAATGGATTAATCTGTTTTTAAGATATTAAATTACCTTAAAACTAATCTCCGATTAATCTCCGTTAATCTCCTATTTTTTTGGTAGGCTTAGTCCACCCTCACTGCCCGAGTAGCGTATAGCGATTTTTTGAACATGAGGAATACTAGATTATAAAAATAGAAGAAATGAAAACTAAAATTAAATAAGACAGATTTGACCAATACAATAAAATCAATCAAAAAATTTGACTACATAAATCTAAAATCATAACTTGGTGTAATGTAAACATATATCTCATTTTTTAAAAAGAATAAAAAAAAATTGACTTTAGAAACAATATATTGACTTACTAGTCAATATAGAGGGAGAGCGAGTGTAAAAATGGGCCTACGTAAATCCAGCACTAACTCAGCCCACACAACTCTCTCTCACAGTCACAGACATATTTACGAAATTAAAAAGAAACGTTTATAAAATTAAGGGAAATAAATTAAAGTAATAATTAAAATGAGTCACTCACAGCCAAATTCACACCATTCTTTATTTCATTTTTCCCCCTTTGCCCAGATTCCGACAAAATCCACTCGTTTGATTCACCACTATATATAATTGAGCGGAGAAGCTTGACATGAAGAGCAGAGTCATTCTTAACCATAGAGACAGAAGAGATAAGAACAACAACAACAACAATAATTACACACAGATTGATACTATGGAGAGAAAGCCTCTTGAGGTTGAGCCATCAACGACGGCGGTGAACACCTACTCCGCCGTCGATGGCGGTGGTTCTGATGGTGTGACTTCGAAGGTCGACGACGAGCAGAGAAAAATCGTTTATAGAGGATGGAAAGTCATGCCTTTTATCATTGGTAACGCTTTGTTTTTTTCTTCCAATTCAGACAGCTTTTTTTTTCGGGTGCTTTGTCGGATTTTAGGAAATGGGAAATTAAACAGAACATTTAGTCCGTGATGTTTTTTAAATTTCGTTTCTTTTCTCTTGGCTTTGACTTGACTATGTCAAAAATCTCGAATTTGGAGTTTTTTCTTTGAGATTCCGAAACGAAATTGGTTAAAAAACTGAGATTTGGTTGAAAAAATGAAACCCAGATAATCTAACAGATCTGTCTAATGGAAATTAGATATACAATTGTTTTCATTTAATTTTCAAAGAGACTTTTAAAATCTTTACCCAAAAAAAGAAAGAAAGACTTTTAAATCATGCAGTTAAGTTTCTGAAAAAAGCAGATAAGATTTTTGTGAATTTCTGGATAAGACAAAATTAGTTTCTGGGAGTTACAAAACAGTTATAAAGTTTAAGTCAGAACATTGAAAGTCCAATCTTTGGTTTGTGTGTTTTGGGTACATTAAATGTAAAAACTGTATTCTTATCATTTATGTGCTATTGTATAGGTAATGAGACATTTGAGAAGCTTGGGATCATAGGGACATTATCAAACCTTCTTGTGTACCTAACTTCTGTATTCAACCTTAAGAGCTACACAGCTGCAACTATCATCAATGCCTTTAGTGGTACAATCAACTTCGGGACTTTTATTGCTGCTTTTCTTTGCGACACATACTTTGGTCGCTACAAGACTCTCAGTGTCGCTGT